CATCAGCAAAAAGTGACAGTTTAAATTCTTCCTTTCTTATCTTTATTCACTTCATTTCTTTCTCTTGTCTAATTGCTGTTGCTGATGTTTCTAGAAGTATGTTGAACAGGAGTGGTGATTGTGAACATCCTTGTGTTGCTCCTGATTTTATCATGAAAGGTTTTAGTTTTGGACTGTTTAGTATGATGTTGGCTGTTGGTTTTTCACAGCATTTATCAGGTTGAGGTAAAGACCATCTATTCCAATTTTCTGTAGTGTTTTTATCTTGAATGGGTGTTGGATTTTGTCAAAAGCTTTTTCTGCATCTATTGAGATGATCATATGTTTTTTGTCCTTGACTCTGTTGATACAGTGTATTACACTTAGTCATTTACATATGCTGAACCATCAGTGCATCCCGTGGATGAATCCCATTTGGTCAGAGTGTATGATCTTCTTGATGATCCTCTGTATTCTGTTTGCCAGTGTCTTGTTAAGGATTTTTGCATCTGTGCACATTAGGGAGATTGGCCAGTAGTTCCTGGGGGTGGGTGGTTCTTTCTCTGCTTTTGGAATCAAAGTAGTGCTTGCTTCAAAGAATGAATTTGGAAGTATTGCTTCCCTTTAATTTCATTAAAGAGTTTGAGAAGTAGTGGCACTGGCTCTTCCCTAAGTTTCTTTTCAGAATTTAACAATGAAGCCATTAGGACCTGGGCTTTTCTTTGTTGGTATATTTTTAATTATGTTTTCAATTTCACTGGTTGAAACTGGGGTATTTAGAATATTTATATCTTCTTTGTTCAACTGTGGCAATTTATATGCATCTAGGAATCTGTCCATTTCTTCTGTATTTTCCATTTTATTGAAGTACCAGATCTTGGAGTAGGTATTGATGATCCTCTGGATTTCTGCTGGATCTGTAGTGTTTTCATCCTTCTTGTTCATAATTGCATGGATTTGAGCCTTTTCTTCCCTTTCCCTGTTAAGCTGGGCTAAGGGTTTGTCAATTGTATTTATTCTTTTGAAGAAGCAAGTTGATTCATTGATTTTTTGTATCATTCTTTTAATCTCCATTACATTGACTGCTGCTCTGATCTTTATTTTTTTACTGGTACTTTTTAGGTTACAATACAGTTACATTCATCACTGGAATCTTTTACCTTTACATGATGTATCTTGGTTCTTTTTTTCCCCCATTCCTCTGACCTCCCTTCACCCTGTCCACCCTTCCTTATTTACAAATACTTTGTTTCCACTTTTTCCTTTTCTTCTATTTTTCTCTTTTCCCTTCTTATCTTTCCCCTACAACTCCCACTATTCCCCTACACCTTTAGACCTTTTCTTCCTATTATACAATATCATTTTTACATTTTGATACTTATTTACGCATTTAGATTATCACACCAGAGAAACTATCTCCCTTGTATGAGATTTGAGGTTGTCTTTCTCTTCTTTTTCTAGGGGCTTGAGGTTCAGCATCAGGTTGCTTATTTGAGCTCTTTGTGTTATCCTAGTATGGGCATTCACTGTTATGACTTTCCCTCATAGAACTGCTTTCATTGTTTCCCATAAATTCCTGTATATTTTATTGGCATTGTCATTTAATCATAGAAACTGCCTAATTTCTTCTTTAATTTTCTGTGACATATTGGTTGTTCAGGAGAGTGTTATTCAATTTCCAAGAGTTTGTGAAGTTATTGCAGTTTTTTATCCTATTGATGTCCAATTTAATTGCACTGTGGTCTGATCACATATAGGGATAACTTCGACTTGTTTGCATTTACTTAAACAAGTCCTACGAGGTACTATATTGTTTATTTTGGAGAATGACCTGTGTGTAGCTGAAAAGAGTGTATATTCTGATTTTGGGGGGTGGAATACTCTATAGACATCTATTAAGCACATTTGTTCAAAAGTTTGGTTCTGTTTTAGCATTTTATTTTTGACTTTCTGTCTAGATGACCTGCTTATTTGTGACAGTGGGGTATTGAGGTCCTTCAGTAAAATTTTATTAGTGCCTATTTGGTTTTTATGTCCATTAGTATTTGATTTATATTGTTCTGTGCACTAGTGTTTGATGCATATATATTTATGATTATCATCTCTTCCTATTGGATTGCTCCCTTTACAAAGATTCAGTGACCTTCTTTGCCTCTCTAAATTAGTTTTGGTTTGAAGTGTACTTTGTCTTCAAATAAGATAACCCATACCCGCTTTTTTCTGGGTTTCTGTCACATGGGAACTGTTTTACAGACTTTGACTTTCAGTCTCTGAATTTTCAAGCTAGACATGATGGCATATGCCTGTGTTCCCTGTTACTCAGGAGGCTGAGTCAGTGGGATAATAAGTTTAAGGACAAGGAGAAAAATGAGAACCAAGACCACCTGTCTTGTAAAAGTACAAGATCCCAATAATGAATATAACTGTACTGTATACCTAAAATGTACCAATAAACTCAATAAAAGAAAACAAAGGGAAATAACAAGGTCAGGATATTTTCATAGCATTTTTATTCATCATCCAGTTTTTGCACCATGTTTTCCACCTTTCTCCAGGACTGATTTTCTAAAACACAAGCCAAATCTAATTGCTTCCCTGATTAGATATGAAATTGTTTGTCACAAGATTAGGCTAAATCGTCTTCTCTGTTCATGTCCCTCAGACCCTGCGTAAACTCATCTAACCCTCCTGGCTTTTTTCTACCACTTCTTATATGCTTTTAGTGTCCAACACTCTGAAATTTTCTAAGATTTGGTGAATCACCTGCTTTCCCCCACAGAGACATTGGGGATTACATGAGAATAGGCATCTCTTTTGACTCAGCCTTAAAAAGAAGTCCAAAACCCTGACATTTTTGTTCATCAAGTCTGCCATTGTGGTGATTAAACATCATTGACATATGGCCACTATTTCCTACATGTTCCTGTTGTGAGGGTCAGCAGAGCCATGGAGTTAATGATCTCAAGAACACTCTGGTGGCCTTTGAGTCTGACAGAGAATTCAGAGAACCACAGTGTGCTCTGTGTCCTCTCTGTCCCTGAAGGAAACCTGACTGGCCTGAGGACAGAGAAGCATTGTCATGAGTCAGTTCTCATGAAGCGCCTGGGAGACCCAGAAGAACAAGATAAAACAAAGGAGAATGACATCAGTGGAGAAGAAAGGTGGAGTTAAAAAAGTTAAGAGGACCCCACCTAGGTAACCAGCTATCCCTGCCTGCACCAGAAGGTAGAGCTCACATGTGCAGAGCAGCTTGTGTATCCTAGGCTAACAAGTTAGTTTCATCCTTCTTCTGGTCACCTTCTGCTGTTACCTTCTATGTAGGACATATTTTGAGAAGGTCCCCTGAGCTCTATTTGTACTTAACAGACTACATGAAGTCCATATATGATGAAGACCCATGACTTCCTTAGGATGATATGTGGCAAAAGTGACAGCTTAGATGGGACTAAGTGTCTCTCGATATAGCACACTAGATCTGCTGGCCATTGGGTCCACTCTGTCTCTTGGTTGTTGATTTAAGGAGGTGAGCACTATTTAAGCTTATGTGGAATGACTCTGTGGGTGAACATAGAAGCTGAGGTTGAACATCTTTGGCTAAGATCTACAGGACACTGATGACTTCAGTCTGTCTATAATCTGAAAAGCCTGTCTTTTCTCTGATGATATTGAATGTAGAGCCCTTTGAGCAGCAGATAGGACTACAATGCAACTCTTGATGGCATGCCCCATGGAACTATAAGGTAACAACACAGCTAAGCTAGCAGAAACCTATTGGCCCTTACAATCTGTAATACAATGGATGTGTACTGTGAAACCCTAGAACATTTGTACTACTACTGTTTGATGGAAACAGAAAATTGACACCCTTTTCTATCAAGGATGGTAAAACACAAACAAGGCATCATGATTCCTAATGAGGCTCCATGAACCCAGTCCAGCTGCCCATAATTTACTGGTGTTCAATGCAATTTCCAGCACTGGATGTAGGAACATTTCCTTTATCAGTCACAGGTGAAAGTGTTGGTATGTAGGCAAGCTATGACTGCATGGATGGGGGAGCCTCCATCTCTGTCCCTTCTATCCATGTGGCCAGCACTGGTATATAAGAATGTTTCAGATGCACTGGGCAAACACAGGTTTACACAGTTTCTGTGGGTCTTACCAGCATGATGGTCAGAAGTCCTTTTCCTTATCCCTGAGACACTGCCAATGACAAACCAAGAGAGAGTGCTTTGAAGAAGTGAGAATATAGAAGCTTCACAGAGCAAATACCACATTTCCTCATGCAGAAAATACATTTTCCATGTCCCAAATGGCTTCCAGAGCATCTCAACACACCCTTGCCTGAGAGAAACTCCTCATGGCAGCCAGGAATTTACCCTAGGGATCTGTTTAAAGATCTGAGTCCAGGTAAATCTCCTCTTCTCAGAGCTCACCATTTCTTCCATTTCTCACCTCCAGCCCTGTCATTTGTGTCTTTTTCCAAAACCACCTCAATATGTTTCAGTAGTCCACCATAGTGATGACTTCATGAAAGATGTGATTAGTTGCAGATACATTTCTTGGGCCAGCACAAGGGACTGTGAGCCAGGATGTGACTATCCACATTGAGACCAGGACCAGGATGTGACCTGTCCCACACTAGGGATGTGCACATGGCAATGCTATGTCATCATGAATATGGGGTCACCAAGGCAATTGGGACTAACTGTTGTCTTTATGTCTGCAGAAACCTTATGGTTTAATGCTTTAAGACAAATTTGAAATCATTTTTCTCCTCCTTCATATTGATTCCTAAATGTTACAGAATGTTGCTAGATGCAAGACTGAACACTGAAGTTACAGGAATGAAATACAGTTTGTATTTTCTTGAAAATAAAGCAAGATAGTTCTTCACTCCACTTTATCCTAACTGGGCCATCATAGATTGGCATCTTCTGCAATAAAGTGGAACTCAGCAGAACCCCTAACCTTGGAAGAACTATCGTGACACATCATTACTCAAGCCCCCAGTGTTGCTGTTATATGCTGTTTATGTAACTGACTACAGCATCTAAAATTTTCTGGGAGCAAGGGAAAGAGAAAGGCTTCCTATCAAATAAATTTATGCATCCATGAAATCCATCCTTCACATGGTACCAGCTCACTGGGACCCCCTGGTCTTCCAAGCGCTTCTTGTAGAGCAAAGTGTGATCACGCAGGACATCACTCTCACAGCTCACCAGGAAGGCCTCAGGAAGCTGAGCGATGATTTCATCATCTGCAAGAAGTGATTGGTTTTCTACAACAAATAAATGTTTCATTTCCAGATAAGCTGCCTCATTAAAAGGCCCAGGAAAGTGAGGTTCCCGGTATTTGTTCTTGAAGCTCTTGGGGATATTGTCATAACTCAGCCATTTCCTGTACTTCTTCCAGACATCTGGTGGTATATATACACCTTTCAATATGGCATCTTTCCAAGATGGATCAATGGCCATATATTTACAAAGGCACATCATCAAGAAGTCCTGGGTGAGGAATGGGACATTTTGGTACTGCTGAGTGGATGGTAACTGGAAATTGATACTCTGCACAATTGGATAAATCAGGATTTGAGCCCGGATCTGGGGAAGATCTGTTTGTCCCAGTAAGACCTGAGTAATATGGGTCACAGCTGCTCCACCAGTGCTATCCCCACAGACCACCACTCGGGAAGGATCCACCCCATAGGTTTTCAGTGTCCTCGGGAAGTGAATGGAGGCATTCAGACAGTCATCAGCAATGACAGGGTAATGGTACTGAGGAAACTTCCGGTACCTAAGGAGGATGGAGGAAAAACAGAACACTGTGTATAGGTGTCACTGCAGTCCATCTGAACCCAGTCTTCTACAGTCCTTAGCACACTTTCCCCAATGAAGTCTTAAGAAGGATCCTAACAAGTAACTGTGGATATCCCCACTGTTTTCCTCTGTCATTGTGAAGTATCTGCTCAGAGTCTAGCTGTGTAGGATTCTACATTCCTATCAAATGCTCCACTCCCATGCTTTCCTTGAATACACAAAACCCACAGAAATTAGCACAAGTTGAAAGCTATTATCTTTGGAGTGGGACCAATCATTAATGGCAGAAAAATGGCAAGTGAGCCTACTGCTGCTCCTGAGAAAGTTAGGAACCACCATGGTGGTTCAGTTTTTAAATGCAAGGCTGGAATGACAACAAAAACTGCTACAATAAACTATTAAACCTAGTAACATAGTACATTCTAACACATCCATCTTTAGACTCTGATAAAGTCACAGAGACATAATGTCCAAAATTGAGAGATTCTAACTAAGAATAGCTAATACACTAAAAAAAAAAAAAACTAAATAAGAAATAACTAGAAGAACTAAATGAAAAAAAAATATCTTAGTTAGAAGAACTAAATAAGCTCTCCACCCTCCCTTGACTTCAATCTATTTAAAATAAATACTTTTGGAGTTCACACATCTGGATATCACATGAGTCTGGATTATGGTGACAGCTGCCTGGGTTACATCCAGGGACTTGAAGGCAGCTATTGCTGAGAATGCTGACTCTTTCCTTCAGCCTACAGACTTCTGATGAGTGGTTAAAATGGGATAAAAGGCATGAAATCTCTATCCTCATGTAGTTCCTGTCCTCTTTGCTGTTTAGATCAACCTAGAGTCAGAGTCTTCTCAGTCCCACAAATACACATATTGATAATTTAAGAAATATTTTATCCAAGTTGATGACACAGGGTTAGCTTGCCCTACTGCCCATTGGAGCTGGTATTTGTCTCTACTACCCCACCCTCATGCTTTTTCAAGCCATGAAATTTCTTCAGCCCTACCCGAAACATTGGACCTTAATGCAGGATCATCACGCCACCAGCAAAAGAGACTAGGCAGTTCCTAAGCAAACTTGAGCAGCTCTTTAACCATAAGGTACTTGGCCAGGATGTTCTGTGCCTCACATCAATGCCAGATATACAGAATCTCAATAGCCCTTAGTGCAAGTTTACTGTGACAACCCAGTTGTCCAGGTGCCTCACAAAAATAATTTATTTCTTGTATGGGGACTGAACACAGGACTTTCCTACTGAGCTAAATTTATAGTTTTTGTTATGTTTAATATTTGAGTCTCTCTCTGGCTACATCACTAATTTTTTCACGATAAAATCCAACTTACTGAAATCACCAGGAAATAGTGGCATGGGTGTACAAGCCCCCACCATTGCCCCACCCACAGAACATTATTGGTGTGCAGGTCCCAACTGAAGGCCTGCCTGGAAAACAGCTGTGCAGGTGCACAGGGCACTGCAAGAAACACACCCAGATACCATCCATAAGTGCATGCATAATCCAGCCAGAGGCCCACCCAGACACTAGCAGCTTGGCAGCACATTCCCCAAACACAAGCCTGCTCAGACAACACTAGTGCAGGTAAGAAGCTGCCATCAGGGCCCTGCCCAGGTAGCAGAAGCTTGGGGGTGCAGGCTATAGCTGAAGGCTCATCTGCAAAACAGTACACACACCCCAGCCAGAAGCACACCTGGAAAAAAACCCTGTGCAGGGATCCAGAGGGCCATCATTCTGAACCTAGATATTGGCAGAGTTGTGATCAGCAGAGAAAAGGTCTCTCAGTCTTCTTGGGAATTGAAGACAGTAGAGTCACCTCAATAAAGGTGCACCAGATTCCATGGGTTGAAATGAGAACACACCTAAACAAATCACTAAACAACGTCACCAAAGGCAACCACCAGGGGCAACGAGATGGATCAATCTGAAACTCAACTAGCTGGACTCCCTGATTTGGCAACAAAATAAAATATGGAAAAAATAAAATCAGAAATAATTTCTCAGATAACAAATGAGATTGTGTCCATCCTGAAAGACATGATTAATAATGATGGAGCAGACATAGATTTAAAAAATAGGAGCTGAGGAACATGGAGGAATCCCATCATAGGAAAAACATGGAACTCAAAAAACAGATGCAAACACATACATGGGTTATTAAAAACTCCATTGAAAGTTGATGCAGTAGAATGAGCCAGTGTGAGGACAGACCATCAAGTACAGAAGAGAGGATTGAAATGAATGACCATAAAAAGAAAGATTTCTTAAAAATAGCAAGGGACCATGTGAAATGAATCCAACAGTTGCTAAATGATGCAAAAAAGAATAACATAAGACTGATCAAAGTCAATGAAGAAACAGGAAATACTGCAAATGACTTTTAAAAATTGTTCACAGAAATAATAGCAGAAAACTTCCCAAAGTAAAAGAATTTGACATACAAATAAATGATGCATATAGGCCTCCAGCTAACTGGAATGAAAAAACAATTGACAGCTAGGCATACAATAGTTAAGATTCAAGAAACACAACAATACAAAAAACACTACATAATACTAAAGAAAGGAAACAAATCACATACAAAGGAAAGCCCATCAGAATCACAGCAGACTTCTCAACACAAACCCTCAAGTCAAGAAGGGCCTATAGTGAAGTATTTCAAGCCCTGAAAGAAAACAACCTCCAACCTAGATCAATGTACTCTACAAAACTATTTTTCAAAATTGATGGAGAAATAAGACACTTTTATGACAAAGAGCACCTGAGGAACTTCACAAATACCAAACCAGGACTCAAAAAAACTGTAAACAATATCCCAGGCAAAGACAATGAGGATCACAGCCCCAGGAAGCCCAGCAGAATGAATCCATCAGTCAAGAAAAGAAATTAAATGCAAAGGCATCTTTTCATTTCAACAACATCCTTGCTTTCAACAACAGCAAAAGGTCGTGACAAGGATAAGTCAATGCATCAGTTATAAACATTAATGTTAATTATCTAAATTCAAGAACCCAAAGAAATAGACGGGCAGAATAGGTAAATAAACAAGATCCAACAATATGCTGCACACAAGAAACACACTTAATTCAAAAACAAATTGATAGGCTGAAAGTTAAAGGGTAGAAAACAATACACCATGTGTCAGGAACCTGAAAAACAGCTAGAGTAGCTTTCCTATTTGAAAATAAAATGAATTTCAAACCAAGACCTATTAAGAGAGACAAAGAAGGACACTGCATCCTTTTAAGTGGTACAATCCAAGAGGAAGAGCTATCAGTTATAAATATATACTCAAAATACTAGTGCATCCAACTACATAAAATAAATACTAACAGACATGAAAAATCAAATGAGCACCAATACCTTACCCATTGTTAAAAATAGATAGATACACTAGACAAAAAAGAACAATGAAATAGTAGAACTCAACCAAACTCTTGAAGAAATGGACTTAACATGTTTAGAGTACTCCACCCCACATAATCAGAGTACACAGTGTTTTCAGCTGCACACAATTTATTCTCCAAAATAGACCACATATTTGCTCATAGAACAAGTTTAAGAAACCACACAGGAAGTAAAGTTATCAGCTATATATTATCATATCATAGTGTAATAAATTGGAGTTAAATACCAAAAGAAACCACAAGAACTTCAGAAACATATGAGAATTGAACAACACATTCCTGATTAACCAATGAGTAACAGACAAAATGAAAGAATTAAACAGTTTCTGCAATTAAATGGCAATCCCAATACAACATATCAGAATTTACTCTACATAATGAAAGCTGTCTTAGGAGAGACATTCATAGCATTGAATACTCATATTAGGAAAACAGAGCAAGCTCAAACATACAACCTAACATTGAACCTCCATCTTCTAGAAAAAGAAGAGCAGGATACAAATGAAATTCATACAAGGGAGGAAATTATAAAGATCAGAGCAAAAATCAGTGCCATGGAGACTCAGAGAATGATACCAAAAAAAAAATTAACGAAGCAGAGAGTTGGTTATTTAAAAGAATAAATAAAAGGGACAAGCCCTTAGCCAATCTTAGCAAAAAAAAGGGGGGGGAAGACCCACATCAATGCAATTAACAATGAAAATATTGAAATTACAATGGACCCACCAGAAATTCAGAGGATCATTCTTCTCTGAGAACCTATATGCAATAAGATAGAAAACAGAAGAAATAGACAGATTTGTAGATACATATGAATTACCAAAGTTAAATAAAGAAGACAAAAATAGTAAAAAACCTAGTATCAATCAATGAAATTGAAAGCATAATGAAAAACTTACCCCCAAATAAGAGCCCAGGTTCTGATTGCTTTATTACTGAATTCTATAAGACATGCAGAGAAGAACTACTGCTGCTATTAATTAACTCTTCAGTGAAATTGAAAGTGGAGCAATACACCCAAATTCATTTCTGGAAGCAAGCATCACTTTGATCCCCAAAGCAGATAAAAATCCAATCAAAAAAGATTTATAGGTCAATCTCCCTAATGAAGATGGATGCAAAAGTCCTCAATAAGACTGGCAAATAGAATGCAGAAGATAATAAAAAAGATCACATATCCTGTCCAAGTAGGATTAATCTCAGAGATGCAAGGATGGTTCAACATATACAAATCAATAAATATAACACACAATATAAATAGAGCCAAGGACAAAAACCATCTGATCATCTCAATAGATGCAGAAAAAGTATTCCACAAAATTCAACACCTATTCATGATAAAAAATTTTAAAACTTACAGAACATTGGAATACATGGTCTTTATCTCAACCTGACAAAGCCATATATGAAAACCAATAGACAGTATCACATTACATGTTCAAAAGCTGAAATCAGGAGCAAGACAAGAGTGTCCACTATCACTTTCCTGATCAATATAGTTCTGGAAATAATAGCCACAGCAATTAGAGAATATAAAAATATAAAGAATAAAGATAGGAAACAATGAAATTAAATTGTCATTATTTGCAGTGCATGATACTCTATATATAAGATCCCAGGAACATCATTAAAAGGTTTCTAGACTTAATAACAAAATTTAGTAGAGTAGCTGGATACAAGATCAACACAGAAAAATCAATAGCCTTACTGTACCTGAACAATACACTCACTGAGAGAGGAACTGGAGAAAAAAACTCCTTTCACAATACCATTGAAAAAAATGAAATACATATGAATTAAACTGATGAAATAAAGAACTCTACTCTGAAAACTACAGCACTTTTAAAAATCAGATTGAAGGGAATATCAGAAAAATGGATAGACATCCCTTGTGGTTGGGTAGGTAGAATCAATATAGTGATAATGGCCATACTTCCAAAACTGCCATATAGATTCAGTGTGATCCCAATTTATATTTCAACAGAATACATCACAGAGCTTGAGAAAACAATCCAAAAATTCACTTGGAAAAAGAGGAGACAGAGAATAGCAAAAGCAATTCTAGGCAACAAAGACAAGGCAGGTGATATCACACTCACCAACTTGAAAACATACTACAAAGCTACTGTAATAAAACAGCATGGTACTGGCAAAGAAACAGAACCAAAAATCAATGTAACATATTAGAAGATGCAAAAACTCTAAACATACTCAGCAACCTCATCTTTGACAAAAAAGCCAACAACCCTCACTGGAGGAAAAATCGCCTCTTTAATAAAAAGTGCTGGAAAAATTAGGTTTCAATGTTCCAAAGATTGAAACTAGACCTATATCTCCCACCATGCACTAAACTAAAGGAGAAGTGGATCAAACATCTAAATATTAAAATAGAAACACTAAAGATCCTGGATGAGAGATTAGGTAGAACTCTTGAAGACATTGGTATAGGTAAAGATTTTATGAATAAAACCTTAGCCACATGTGAACTAGGACATAGACTCACCAACTTAGATCTCATCTTATTAAAAATCTTCTGCACTATAAGAGCCACCAGCAAAGTGAAGACACAACCCAGAATGGGGGGGGGGGATTTTAGATCTCTTCCTCAGACAAAGGCCTACTATATAGCATGTAAAAAGAAATTACAAAAAAAAGACCTCCCAAATTTAAAGACCCAATCCAAAAATACGTATCTGAAGTGAATAGATAGTTCTCAGGAAAAGACAAAGATGTTGCAAATAAACATATGAAAAAATGTTCAACACCTGTGGTCATTTGAGAGATACAAATGAAAACAACACTGAGATTCCACCTCATGCCACAGAGAATGGCTGTTATCAAGAAATCAACCAATAACAAATGCTGGTGGGATTGTAGCCTGCTGCAACCATTGTGGAAATCAGTATGGAGATACCTCCCAAAACTAGGTTTAGAGGTCCCATTTGACCCAGCTATTCTTCTGCTGGATATCTTCACAAAAGAATTAAAGAAATCATACCACAGTAATAAGTATGCAGCAATGTTTATAATGGCACAATTTCTAATAGATAAAACTAGGAACAGCCCAATTGTCCATTAACTGGAGACTGCATAAAGAAAACATTGGGTTGTTTGTTGTTTTTTTATAAAATGGAATACTACGCACCATAAAGAATGAAAAACTAGAGACATTTATAGCTAAATGAATGAACATTGAGGCCATAATCTTAACTGAAATAAATGGGTCACACATGTGTAAATAGTGAATAGTTTCACTGATGTGAGAATCTGAAAGTGTAAATAAGGATCAGAATGTAAAATACATAATGAGAAGTAGGTAAAAATATCCAAAAGGAAAGAGGAACTTGGAGGGATAGGAGAAAGAAGAAAGGAAAAGAAATAAATATGACCATAAAAAAACAGAAACAAGGTATTTGTAAATATGGAGAGCTGGAAAGGTTGAAAGGAAAATGGGGAATGGAGAAAAAATAGGAATCAAGATATATCACATAAAGGTACAAATTCTCAATGACAAATGTGATCATATTGTATACCTAACAGGTAACTAAAAAACAAATCTAACTTCTGATAACTTCTGATCCTCCAATCTCTTTGCGGAAAGCTGCTTTAGTCTCTCTCTCTCTCTCTCTCTCTCTCTCTCTCTCTGTCTCTCTCTCTCCCCCTCAATAAATTTCTCATTCCTTTCAGAAAAACCTCGAATTTTACTGAAGTCTGTACCCCATAAACCTTTGCCCATCTAGAAATTACCGGCAATATTTAGCACAGTCTGATCTCTACATACTCTGGGTCAAAAGATGCAATCCTCAGGTACCCCTCCTACTGCCTGTCAGTAGGGCAATAGGAAAGCCATACTTTAAGTCAAGGTCCAATTGTTCTCAGCCAGAAAAAGGAGGATGGGAAAGGAGAAAACATTCCCCCATTTTCAGTGTCCCCCAAACACCTCCTCCTAGGCATCATCTACAGAATTCCACTGAAAACCCCTAGCCCCAAGCCCCTACTCTGCCTGATGATTCCACCAATCAGTCCATTGGAATGTCTCTGGACCACATGGCAAGACTACAAATACAAGTTACACTGAGGAATTTTTATCTAAAAATAAAACATACATTAAGCACTTTCCTTAAGATATCAAAGTAGACACACACACACACACACGCACACACACACACACCTTTCTGTGCTCCGTGTTCAAGGGACCTTAATTATCCCCAATGTCTTTGGAGAAATGGACTCTAATAGCAGAAGATCATGTACAATGGTGACCAGTTGTGATTCACTGTGTACTGGAGAAACGCCGCTCTTTTCATGGTCTGCAGAGAGAATCAGTGGTGCTAAATGGCTTGCTGGTGTCACACACATGAGCTATCTGCTCAGACTGTAATGAGCCAAGGTTAGAGGGGGCCAAATAGATATTTTGACCCTAACAAGGGGTTTTAAGATGGCCTCACCTCTACTGTCTAGCTATGTTCTCCTTCCTTGTTGAGATCTCTTGGAGTAATAACTAGAATGCTAGTGAGTTGCCACCCCTGTCATTCCATCAACTCATGGCAACTTCTTTTTACACAGGATCAGAATTATGCCTTAACACACTCAACCTTGGTCCTGGTGTGGCCTGCAGTTGGTAGATGGGTAAGGTAGGCAGTTATGTAGCGATACAGTGAGACTCTACAGGACGATCAACCCAACCCCAGCCAAGGTCTTTACCATGACCTAAACCCAATCTCAACCACCCTACCATCTCCTCCTACATCACGGATGCCTGGACTGAGAGAAGGGTGACCTTGAATATTACATATATCATTGTTTTTCTTTCATTTTTGTATTGTTTTCTTTTAACTATGTGTATCTCAAGAAGGCATTATTATGATTTTAATTATTTTAAACATTACTGTTAGAGCTTCAGGCTTCACGTAATTTCTGAATCATTTAACTTTATATTACAATACTAAGGTGAATCTTTATCTTCACATGTCCTCCCATATCATTAATACTTCTCTGTGTCACAGTCCTTATCAGCAATGTAATGTAGTAGTCTGTCTCTCCAGGACAAACTATGCATTCCCTAGGAACAGGCATCTTTCCAGTCCTGTGCTGCTTTGAGGGGGGCTATGCCTGTGTCCTTGGTGCCTGTCCATGAGTAACTCCTGGGTCAGGGACTTGTCTCTATTCTACAATCATCCAAGAACTCCCTCCACCTTCTTCCCATGGAAAAAATGAGGAGTGTCTCCAAAACTCACCCCACTGCCAATAGCACAGAATCGGTTTCCCGAGCCAGAAAACTGCACACATTATGGTAAAAATCTGCAACACAAGAACAGACCCTAGGTGTCCCATGAGAAGTGCCCAACATCTCATCCACAAGCTCAGGAAAAGCAGCCACTATGGGGGCATGGGGTGATTTCCTATATCTGTTCCTCCTCTGGTCTCCTCCCACTTTGGTGGGCTATGTTTGGGGAAAGTCAGACATCTGCCACAATCTCTTGAATGTTCAGGAGGGAGCAGACCTGGGTATCAGGGTTAAACATGCATCAATTAATATTATACTGAGGGAAATTGAGTAAGGGTTAGGGATCTGGAGTGGACAAAACCAAGGAAAATCAACTTGGGCATGCCTGCCTGGGAATACTAATAATTTGGTGCGTTTATATTCAGAAAATAAGCAACAGCTGGATGGGACATCTTGTTAAACTGGGAAGTTCATCTGAAGTTCTAGAAGGCAGATCCATCGATGTTAGTGGGCTTTGCTGCAGCCCCCATACTAGGCTCAGAACCTGCCAAATGCACCTTTATTCAGCCCTTCTCGTGTCCTCCTGTTGGCGCAGATGCATCAAGCAGTCTATCCAAGTCCTGTGCAAGGCTAACTCCAAATCCAGGATCAGAGCCTCGGGCTAAGAGGTCAAGCATCTGGTGTTCCCAGTTTTCAGGGGAGCCAGGGATGGCTTGAGGGTGTGGTATGGTGAAGATAGAAGGGAAACACTGACAAAGTCACTGAGGCTTCAGATGAGTAGGTGGCCAGCACCTGTGACAAAGATCCGTACCAGCTGGTTCAGACCCTCTGCCTGTTAGTTCATCTGGAAACTTTCTGAAGTCCTGAGACCTGCGACCACCCTAGAGTGGGACTGTCATCCTGGAGGAGGGCTGTGGTGGGTAGGATCTTTGAGCTCCCAGAGTGGGTGAAAGACAGCCAAGGACGAGCACTCTGTTGGCCATGGCCTGGGCCCTGCTGACCTGCACAGCTTCATTGGCTGATCTGACAACCTGACTTCCCACAGGCCACAAGTGGCTCCTTCTTCTGAGCTCTGCCTTTGATAGATGCTGCTTAGACTCAGCACAGCTGGATCAGAGTGAGGCAAGTGAAGCTTCCACTGTGGGTGCAAAATCCAGGGCACCAAGACACACAGCCTTCCACATAGCATACTGATGCAGAACATTACAAAATCAAAAATAAGCCCAAAAGATGCCACAATGAGCAAATAACTTAATTTTTTAGCAGGCTCCTACTTTGCACTTATAAATGTCCCTAAGCACTGCCTTACAACTTTTGATATGAGGTTCAACTTAGTCTATTGCATGAAGATTTTCTCTTTGAATATTGCCTTGAAGTGTAGTATTAATTCTGATGACTGAGGTTTGGTGCCCTTATTTTGAGGCCTGAGGTACCTATCTCCCTGGCCTGCCCAGATCCCCACCTGGCTCAGAATGTCCTTTTCTCCTTCCTTACTTTCCCCTCTTCATCTTTTGTGCTGGCCTCAAATGGTACCTTCTTGAGGAGATTGGTCTGATAAGAGGGACTCAATTGCTATTCCTCCTGGTCACTCTTTCCTTCAGCTGCCTGGGACATCAGCATATGAAGCTACTCACTTACATGCATTCTTCTGCAATGTCCTTCCCTCCTTGTCTGATAGGCACATAAGGGCTGCAGTTGGGTCTCTTGCTTTCTTGTGTCTACTGTGTTGGAAAGGGCATGGCCCTAAACAGGTGCCCAGTTAATATTCCCTGACCCATTTTGCTTTGAATTTGGGAATGGCATTCTCCTGCAACACAGGATGGCCCTGGCAACTGAGTCCTGGGGCTACTGAGAGTGAAGACTTCTCACAAGGATACGATCAAGGCTTGGGATGTGCTCCCAGTGATCACCTTTAAGGAAGAGTGTAGACATTTTTTGTATATGGGTGATTGCCTAGCTCCTGGGACCTCACTCATGCTAGGCAAATGTCTATCACTGAAATATATCCCCAGCCTTGGGGACATGTTTGGATGTTGAGTGAGCTGCAAGTGCAGAGGAATAGGCAAAAGGAATTTTCTGAAGATGTAAGGTGTGGGCAAGAGAAGGTTTGTTTGGATTCCCTTGGTTCTGGAGAACTGAGGTCAATGCATGGGCTTCTTAATGTCACTGTGGCCCAAATCTGGAGATACAGGGAAAGGAAATGAAAGGAAAGGAGGTAAAGGTACAGCATTAGCACTCCCAACTCAAGATGGAGCCTGGGAGAACACTCACCAAAGTGACTGCGTATTCAATTAGGCAGTCCAGAATTCTGAATTTGACAGGATGTTTCAGGGCAGAGGGAACTTCTATGATGAAGAAATGCTTAAAGATAGTCCAGACGAGCAGTCCCAGGAGAAAAATGGGCAGGACCAGAAGTGGCACCAGGAACAAGACAGCCATGATCTGAGGCCACAAGGAGCTGCTCCCTGAGAAACCAGCTTGTGAGCGTGGTGAAGAAAACCTGGCTGCTTATATGGGTTCCAGCTCCACCCACACTTTCTAGCCTTGCCCTACATGGTGGCCTGACCCATCCTTTTAGAAGTCAGCTAAGCAAAAAGAGCAGGAGGAACCTACTTCCTGAGGAATTAAGTGACCACTAAAGGCCAGGGGACTCACCAAGGGAAGTTGGAGATATGGTCTTCCTACAGATGAGGAGTGGGCTCATCGGTATTTCAGCTCATATGGATATGAATGTTGGTCACAGAGGTTCACCTATGCTGACCTTCTGACTCATCCTGAGCAGAATCTGTTTAGTGTGAGCAAAGTGGATCTCATATCCCATTCCTTAGACAGCTGCCTGGCAAGAACATTACAGTTTCTTGTGAAACCAAAACAGTTCTAATCATTTCTTTCTCTCTTGCAACCAAGCATTTTGCCAAAAAATATCCCCAGTTCAGCCTTTGGTATTATTTTCTGAAAGGGATTGGGAAGCATGATAAGGTTCAGGTTGGCCTAGGTAATAGGATTTCTCCCTCCTTCTCCTGGGATCCAGAAATATGTGAACCATCTCCAGGGGACTTTGGTGCTATTGGCCCAACCCTGCTCTGGTTAGAGACCCACAGGATGCAGTAGGATTGAGTCCAATAGATAGAGTTTTATAGGGGCTACATTTTCAGTGTCTAGGGAAGGCTTGATAGGAAGAGAGTTGGATCATTCCATTTAGTTCTTTATTTGCTTAATTGTCACTACAAAGAACATAATATAAAGTTTGCCATCATAACCATTTTAAGTGCGCAACACAGAACTGTTAAGTAAATGTATCTTGCTCTGTGAGGCGGATCTCTTGCAACACCAAATCTTTATACCCCTAGAATAACTCCCCTGCTAACATTAAGCCCCTGGGAACAATGCTACTCTAAGAGTCTGAAACAATTTTACCTACCATCTATGATTAGGTTAGCATTTGTATTTTTGAGCCTGACTTACTCCACTTAGCACATTGTCCTCATGATTCATCCAAACTGTGACTCACAATGTTTTCCTTCAATTATAAAACTGAATATTACACATGATCTTTATATGCCAAATTTTCCTACTTGAGTTTTCCAGAACTGGGACGGAACCCACAGTCCTTTCCATGTTAGGCATGTGCTCTCCCACTGAGGTATAGCCACAGAGTTTCATTTTGGCACGATGGACATTTAGGTTGCCCAAACTGTGAATAATACTGCAATGTACTGTATGTAGTTGTGCAAATGTTCTCTAACTTAAGTGGAGTTTTGCTCATCCACATACAGAAAGGGGGAAGGGTAGGGGCAAGTAAATAAGGGGAAAAATATGAGAAAATGAAAAAATGGAAATAAAGAGTTTGTTAGTGGGGAGGGAAGGAGGGGGTGAAGGGAGGGCAGGGACATGGGGAAAAAATGAGAACCAAGACCTGTCATGTGAAGGTACAGGATTGCAGTAATGAATGTAACTGTATTGTTGACCTAGATTGTACCAATAAACTCAATAAAAAATTAATACATACATTGTGCACACATATGCTTATTTAGAAGAGTAAATAAGACATAAATATTCATATTGAGGAGTTTTCAAAAAACGAACCAACCCAGGAAACCACCCACAAACCAGGACATAGCACATCTCACCCCTCCTTCTCCCTGGCATGACCACCTATTACATACCCATAAAAGGGAGCCTATCTCTTTCATTTAGCAGCCAAGACTCAGCTTGCTGGTTTCTGAATTTTGCCTGAGTGGAATGATGTAGAAAGACTTCTTTCTGTGTGGATTTTTTTCACTTAACACTATGCTTGCAAGATTCTCCTGCATTGTGCACATCAGTTCATTCGCCCTCATTCTTACACAACATTCCATGTACTGAAACACAGGAACTCTTTAAAAGTTCTGCTACTTCACTGGTCATTCAAGAGATGCAGATGAAAATGATACTGAGATTCCACCTCACCCTACAAAGAATGGTTGCTATCAAGAAATCAAACAAGACCGCTCCAGTGCCAGGAGGTAGCCTGGGCCTTGATCCACAGCAGGAAGGAGAGCCACGCCTTCTCCAGCCCCAAACACCAGCGCTCCAGTGCCAGGAAGGTAGCCATGCCTGAACCCCCATAACTCCCCTTGCAAACACACACACACATACACACACACACGCGGGCATGCATGCTGGCATGCGAGCACTCTCAGAACTCCTTACTGTGCCAGTCTTTGGACCCACTCTGAAGAGGCAGAGGTGGCCATCAAGGGTAATTTTCTGAGTTCCCAAATTTGAACATCTTTAATGAAAAGGTGTGGGAAACCTGTAGTAGAACGGTGTGGAGTTCAACCATTCAGAAGGTAGGAGAACTCAATCTGGGCCTTGCAGCCCGAGGTCAGTCAGAGTCATGGGGTTCAGCCTCACTCTGTCTGAGCCATAAAATGGTAAATACACTATATTGAAATTTTGTTCACTTCAGACATGTTCTGGACTGCTTATTGATTTCAATTTCATTCAAATGGTTTAAGGGTGATAGACTAGTGACTACCACAGGTGGTCAGTGTCTAAGTTGTGCTTGATCTTAATGTGTTGCTGATTGTATCAGTTGGGATAAAGCATTGCGGTTGATTTGATGAGCTGTTTTCTCTGATGTTATGAAGATGAGAATGCCTGTGGGTTATTAGAGACACAGAAGCTAGGGCCCAACTATATCAGGAAGATTTGGGTGATAACCCAGAGATTAAACCAAGGACAGGCCGACAACAAAAATAAAAATGAGAAAACACTTAAGCAAGACACAAAGACAGACTTCCAGTTCACCAATGGCAAACAGTAGGGCAAATGAGGATGAAAAGGCCGATAGTGAACCACCAGGACACCCTGAACTCAAAGCACAGGAAATAACAAAACAGATCAATCAGGCTCTAGAAAAATTCAAAACAGAAATAACTTCCCAGATAAATATAGAGATAATGAACAAATTGGAAGCCATGATTCGAGACTCTAGAGCAGAAACTGACAAAAGAATAGATGAGCTCAGGACCACGATAGAAGCCATAAAGGCCCAGCATAAGAAAGAAATGGAAAAAATAAACTCCCAACATAGGAAAGAAATGGAATCCATAAAACAGATTCAAACAGATATCCAGGAGATTAAACATTCCACTGAAAGTGTACGCAACAGAATAAAAGAATGCGAAGATAGACTCTCAGATATAGAAGACAAGATTGCAGTCAGTGACCATAAAAAGAGAGCTCTCTTAAAAACAGTAGGGGATCATGAGAAATCAATCCAACAACTCCTAGATGATGCAAAGAAGAATAACATAAGACTCATAGGAATCCATGAAGTAGCAGGAGAAAATACGAAGGACTTAAAAAAAGCTGTTCGCAGAATTAATGACAGAAAACTTCTCAAACAGAGGGGAAGAATTTGACATTCAGATAACTGAGGCATATAGGACCCCAACTAGCTACAATAAAAAAAAATATGCACCTAGACATATAATAATCAAGATCCCAGAAATCCAACCAAAGAAAAAAATACTACAAGCAGTAAGAGAAAAGAAACAAATCACATGCAAAGGAAATCCCATCAGAACCACAGCAGACTTTTCAACACAAACCCTGAGGGCAAGGAGAGCCTGGAATAAGATATTTCAAACACTAAAAGAGAACAAACTCCAACCTAGACTGGTGTATCCTGCAAAACTCTCTTTCAAAATGGATGGGGAAATAAGACACTTCCACAACACAGAACACCTGAGAAACTACATTAATAGCAAACCAGCACCACAAGCAATTCTAAACAAGATCCTAGAAAAAGACAATGAAGGCAACAACACCATGAGGCCCAACAGAGCAAATTAAATAGGCAAGGCAAGAAATTAAAAGGAGGAGGTGAAAAAGTAAAAACAGTCAACAAAGGGCCAATACCATGTCAATAATAAGTCAGTGCATATCACTTATAACCAGCAATGTCAATGGCCTCCACTCGCCCATCACGAGAAATAGAGTGGCAAAATGGAATAAGAAGCAAAATCCAACAATATGTTGTATACAAGAAACACACCTAGTGCAAAAAGAAGCCCAGAGATTGAAAGTGAAAGGATAGAAAACAATTCACCATGTGACAGGAGCCCAGAAAAAAAAACAGGTGTAGCAATCTTATTTGCAGACAAAGCAAATTTCAAACCAAAACTGATTCTAGTATTATTGATGTAGGACGGTATGGTATCATACTTCTGTGAATATAAAATATCTTGTACCTGCTTTATGATACATAGTAGTGACCATGCTTTATTAGAGCTATATTTAATGATATTACTCTAAAATGTTCTCTTTCCAGATGATGATTAAGATGCTAATAAAATTAAAATGGTGCCAGGTACCACAATAGCAACAGAACTTTGCTGCTTTCTGGATAATATTCTTTTCTTTGTTTTTTTGTTTTGTTTTGTTTTTAATGGAATGTGCTGAATGTCTATAATTTTGTTCAGATGACTGCAGAACCTGGAAAAGCTGTTGCTGCTATCGATGCAAAACATACTGCTATTATTGGTCTTTTTATATAAATATAAATATATACATACATATATTTATAAACTGAATTTTGGGAAACTTTAATGGTTCTGTCAACTTTGGAAAAAGTTATCCCAATTTACTGTGTTGGGTTGGCATTGTACAGAAATGGACAACCATACTGGTCTAGAAATATTAATTTTTTATTTTTATTTTTAATTTTTTTATTCCATGTGTACAGGGGTAATGCACTGTATTAAATATGTAAGGTCATATCTATGTGGGTTTGATTACAGAAACTAATAAAGTATTCTCTAAATAATGAAAAAAGAATAAGATAAGACAGCAAGAGCAAGAAGCTATTTAAATATGTTCAGGGACCATTTTCACCTCCAGAATTAAGGATTATTTTAATGTTACATCATTGCCTTTTCTCTTTCACTTTC